GGGGGGGGGGGGGGAGGACCCCCAATTTCTGGAAAAACCAGAAATTGGCAGGGGATGCGCGGCGTCGGTGCGCACCCCCCGATTTTATTTTTTTTTATTTATTTATTTTATTTTATTTTTTTATTTTTTTTTTTTTGCGTTTGTTTTCTGGTGCCGGGGGTGCTGACCCCCGACCCCCGGGACCCCCGCCGGGGCCCCGGGCCCGGGGGTTGACAACCCTGCTCACCCCCCAACGACCTTCCAGTCTACTATGAATCACATCTTTCACGACCTTCTCGAAGTTTGTGTCATCGTCTATCTTGATGATATCCTCGTCTTCAGTCCCATCTTCTAGTCTCACCTTCAACACATTCACCGGGTCCTCTTTATCCTCAGAGACCAAAAGTTCTACGCCAAGCTTAGGAAATGCACTTTTGCTGCCTCAAGTGTAGAATACCTCGGCCACATTGTATCCGTTGATGGTATCCGCATGGACCCCTCGAAGGTCACCGCCCTTGTCGAATTTCCCCCACCTACGACCTTGTTGCAACTTCGTTCCTTCCTCGGTCTTGCCAACTACTACCGCCCCTTCAGCCGCGACTTCTTCGAAATCTCCTATCCCCTCTACGAGCTCACTCACAAGAACGAGCCTTTTGCATGGAACGAACGCCATCAAGCCGCCTTCGACCTCCTCAAACAAGTCGTTACCACAACCCCTGTCCTCAAGATTGTTGAACCCTCTCGACACTTCTATGTTACCACAGATGCTTCAGACTTTGCTATTGGAGCCATCCTGTCCCAACACTTCCCCCGCGACATCCCGGACACCCCCCTCCATCAAGGATTCCCCCACCCACTCCGAGGCTCCACCCGACGAGTATCCTATCACATTTATGAGCAAGAAGCTCATCCCTGCGGAGATGAATTACCCCTCCAATGGGAAGGAACTCCTCGCCGTCATCCATGCCCTCAAAGTCTAGTGCCCATACCTCGACGGTCAACACTTCACTATCTGCACCGACAACACCATCGTCTCAGGCATACTCACCAAGAAAGATATCACACCATGCCAAGCTCGATGGTTAGACTCTCTCGCCCAATTTGCATTTCCCATTTCTCACACCCTCGACAAAAGCAACCGTGTCGCTAATGCCCTCTCTCGACGACCCGACCACAAGCCCCCTGAGAAAGTCTGCGCCGCCATGACTCATGTTCAACTCCTACCTTCACTCCACCACCGCTATACTCACGGGTACTCCTCATGCCCCGATTTCTCTACCATGTACGACAAGCTTTGTGACCTCGTCCCCAACTAGTCCCTCCACGACAACCTCTTGTGCGTTAACACTAACGACACGTGCCGACTCTGTATCCTGACGCACGTGGTCTTTGTACCCAACTCTTGGCCGAACACCACGACGCCAAGACCGCAGGACGCCTTGGTTTCCAGAAGACATTTGACACCGTCTCTCGCTACTTCTACTGACCCTCACTCCTCGCCGACGTCAAAGCATACATCCGATCATGCCCCACTTGTGAAGTAGTCAACCCCTCAAACCAGGTCAAGCCTGACAAGCTCCAGTTATTGCCTATCCCCACCTGTAGGTGGCAGTCCATCTCTAAGGATTTTGTGTGCGGTCTCCCCACAACCGACCGCGGCTATGACTGCATATACGTCGTTGTCTGCCGCTTGACCCATTTCATCCCTTGCACCACATCTCACAATGCCACAGACATCGCCACGCTCTTCTTCGATCATGTCGCACGCCATCATGGTCTCCCCGAGAACATCATCAGTGACCGTGATCCCCGCTTCCTTTCCCAATTCTGGAAAAACATGTTCAAAGCCTGCGGCACCACTCTCAAGGACAACACTGCATTCCATCCCTAGACCGATGGCCAGACAAAAAGATGAACAATACTCTCCAAAGGATCCTGCGGAAGGATTGTCATCCACACCAGCACGACTGGGATCAGTTGCTCACTGCTGCCGAGATTGCCTACAACAACGCTGTCAACCCTCCCACTGGCATGTCCCCATACTACCTTGACCTTGGCTACCATCCCCGCTTGCCCTCAGACTTCTTGTTACCCTCGCAGCTCAAGCCATCCCCTCCCTGTCCTTCTCTCGCTGAATGGGTTGCATCAATGAACCGCCTCCTGAGAGAAGCCACTGACGCCCTTGAACGAACCCAACGACAACAAGCCAACAAGACCAACAAACACAGACGAGATATCACATTCAAAGTAGGGGACACAGTCTGGCTCTCGGCCAAATGCTTTGAACCTGAACATGGCTTGTCCAAGAAACTCTCAAACAAGTGGCTCGGTTCATTCCCCATCATTGAACCAGTATCCCCCGTACGTTACAAACTTCAACTACCCCCTGACATGAGCCGTGTTCACCCTGTCTTCCACGTCGAGTACTTAAAAGAATACCATGAATCACCTCCACAATTTGTCGACCGCCCGTATCCTAGACCTCCACCAATCATGCTACCTACCGGGCCAGAATTCGTGGTAGAATCTATCACAGGACGAAGAACAACTCAAGTATCCAATCACCCGAAACCAAACACTGAATACAAAGTCAAATGGACTGGATAACCAGATGAAGAATCTACATGGGAACCCCTCGATAATCTCAAGAACACCATGAACCTTGTTCGTGCCTATGATCATACTCACCCTGTATCCTAGCTATATACTACGCATAACACCCATATGCCTTGCATAAACCCTGCCTCATTGCTCTACACACACCCCTGGCACCCAGCAAAACCCCTGCCCCTCGACCTCTCTCTGTCTGATCCGCTCTTGTCTCCGTCTCGTTCCCCAATCTGTCCTCTGCCACATCCTCTGTCTCTCTTGTCCAAGCCTTACCTGTGGTTCCGGCGCATCGCTGGCGATAAAGGATCTAATGGCAAGTGCACGAGGACGATGGCCTGCTGCAGCACAGTTCGAGGAGATTAAGCAGCTGGTTGGCCACCATGCTGTCCCATCGGCCGGCACCTGGACTCGCAGACTTCTGGAGCAGCACTCTTGACATGGACATCAGGTTCAGTCTGTGACCTGCTATCCGGATCAGACTTCATCATCAGGATCGTGTACAGGACGCACCCTGGCACTTGGACCTTCATCTCTTGGACTGCTACACTACTTCTTCCAAGCTGGAACCCTCGCTAATACACGTTGCAAGCCTGCTGAAGACTGGTTAATCATCAGCATTCCATACCAGGACCTACTTCAAGACCTGCTTCAAGCCTCTCACCCAGACCATTTTGCAGAACCTGCGATGTCCCCCCCCCACCCCATTTAATTCGAGATCCTCAGAAACCCCAACCCCCGAACCCTGCAAAATAATCTTCCTTTCTTTGTTTTTGCTCACAGCACCCTTTCGCCCAACGTAACCCTGTAGTTCATCTGTACACCAACCCTGTCTCCCCCTCAGATCATAACCCTGTAGTCCATCCGTAGGACAACCCTGTTTCCCTGCAGTTCCTAACCCTGTAGTCATTTGTAGGCAAACTTTGTTCCCTCTCGGTTCACAGCTCCGTAGCCCATCAGTACGCATACCCCGTAGCTCATCAGTGGGAAAATGCTGTTTCCCCCAGCCTTTGCTACCCACATTACACCCCTCTCCCTTTTTCTTCCTGCTTCCCAGTGATCGGCCTCGTCCCGTCCTTCACAGGATTCAGCATTATTTTCATGACTTTTGGCAGCCTGGACGTTGCCTTCTAGAGGGAGGGGATAGTGTTACGGACTCCTCCAGGGCGCGATCCATGGTCTGCGGGTTACCACCCGCCAGCTTGCTGTATTTGTTTTTTGTTTTTTTTTTACAATTCTTTGTTTTTTTTATTCTTGCTTTTCTCATTTTGGGACAGTTGGCGCCATCTGCATTCTGGCGTCCGTTTTCAAATTCCTTCTTTTGGGACGTTCAGATTTCGGAAACTTGGCGCCATCCGACATTCTGGCGCCCACTCTCAGACTTTTGATTTTCAGTTCTGGCCCTGAGGCATTTTCACTTTCGCCCTCAGGACCGTACTTGAATCCGGTGCTTATGTACGGACTCAAGCCCAGTACGGGCACCAAGTTTTCAGCCTCAGTGCTTGTGTTCAGTGCAACTTT